GGTGGCTGATCAATGAAGGCTTCTATTTTTGACGATCTAGGCTCTCCCCTGACTCTCCCTTTTCCACACCCCCTCTTAAAAATGGTTACTGTCAACAGCAGGGCTTAGTGGTTTCTTTGTCAATGTTTTTACCTGTTGACAAATGCCCTCAGCTTTGGTTTTCCCTCTACAGAGATATACTCAGCTCCAACTTTCCTGAGCCCAAATCCAGCTCTGATACTGTTCTTCCCTGAATTTCACATCAGTTTTTATCATGTTAGAGCAACCCTCTCAACATTTTCACCATCATACTAAGGCAAAAGGTAAGCTGCAAAAAAATCAAACAATAATGTTGATTTTCCAATTCAATCACACATCAGAATCCTAAAACAAGATAAATACAGTAAGATTTTGATTTATTTCTGTTCCAATCCAGCAAAGTGATTTAATACCTTGTGCATATTAACTTTACTGAACCTATGCTGTCGATGTAAGTCAATGATTTGAGTAACAATTTACAAGAATTGGTAAGAAAAAAAAATGCTTATTTGCCCCCCTGTGGTTGTTGATTTATTTATTTGGCCAAGACTTGCAGCCTGAACAGAGAGATAAAAGTAGGGTTCTTATGAAAAGACAGAAAGGCATCCTGTTTGAAGACTGAATTTGTTGAGGTAAAAGTTATCCTAGCTCTCAGTAGGTGAGGGAGGGTTGGGAAAGGTCAGAGGATATTTGAACAAATGGGAGTCTTGATTTCACATTTGTGAGAGCTATAGATAATATAAATTCACAGAGAAAGCTTAAAGTCATATGATGAAGTAATTTTTTCTAATATCCTAAAAGAAACTCCAATTCTAGTTTGAGACCTATAAAGAAACAGCTAAAGAGGTGTTTATTACCAAAAAAAGTGAAAGTAAGAAACAGAAAAGGAAAGCAGAGCATCTTAGATACTTTAAAAAATAAATATTCTAATCACCATCAAGGAATTCCAAACTCATCCTCATCCAACCAAATGTGGCAGATTTGGGACTACAGACAGTAAGAGTACACTTTTGAAGCCTCTGAATTATGGTCAAAAGTCATTTGGTAATCTTTATTAACACCTTGCAATCTTCCGCAGTGAAGATCAGAGTGTTCACCATGGCCGGTCACTGTTAAGAGTCTTACAAGCTACTCCCTAAATGTGGCTTCCCTATACCCACTGATTAATCCTTACATCTGGGAAAGAAGTTTCTGGCGATAATGTCTCCCCAGATCTGAAAAAAAAAAGTTAAGGTGCTGTGTGTTGAGGAAGTAATGTGGCAGAGAGCAGAGGACTGAGAGTGGAGAAGAGAAGGGATTAAGTCGTTATTAATACCACCAAACTCATCTGTGTTCACTCAGCTCCCTCAGCTCTGCACTGGGACTGAAGCTGTCCTTGGGCCCCTTGGTCCTGTATGCTTGAGGGGAGCTTAAGGCAGCTGGTTTAGAGTTTCTGAGGGACTGACTCCGTGCGCACCTGCTGCAAGACCTCTTCCTTGGCGGGGCCTGCGCATTTGTAATCCAGAGCAGCCCGGGCTGCACACTGCTTTTTCCTCAAGTGGCAGACGATGGCGAGGAGCACTGTGATAATTGATAAGATGCTGATGGCGATGCCGATGAGCACGACCGAATGGACCGGTCCTTCAGTGGGTGGGGGAGTGGTGGTGGCTGGAGTCTCGGTGCCCGGGAGTTCTCCTGAACCATCATCAACGGGGGTGAGGTCTTCGGAAATACACTCCTGGCCTGTCTCACTGAGCTTGTACTTGGGCCCGCAGATGCATTGAAACTTCCGGGCAGGTTGACGCATTCACCACCAAAGCATTCACCTGCTGCACAATCATCTATGTCACTGCACATCTGGTTCTCGTCCAAAATATAGCCCTCTGGGCACTTGCAGTCGTCTGCATTGTAGGGATTGCATTTGGCCGGGCAGGCAGTGGTGTTGCAGAACAGCATGCACCTGTCGGGCTGGTCTGGAATGGGCACGAAGCCCTCTTCGCAGGCACAGCGGTAGGTGCCCCCCCTGCAAAGGTAAACACTTATGCTCGCACTTGATACCGAAGCAGGGGTCGAGCAGCTCCACACACTCCCCATCTAGCAGCTCGAAGCCCGGGTTACACTCGCAATCGAAGGCGCCCTGGGTGTTAACGCACTTCTGTGGGCAAGGATTAGGCTCCAGTGCACAGTCATCGACGTCTACGCAACTATGCCCATCTTCGCCCAGGTAGTAACCCGAGTCACACACGCAAGTGTAGCCGCCTGGAGAGTCTGGGCTGAAATCGCAGTACTGCTGACAACGCCCATGAGCGCACGGGTCGCCTTCAGCCTGGCAGGAGCGCAGGTCGGCCTTCGAAAGTGTCCCTTGAGAGCAAAGACACTCAGGATCCCCGCTGTCCTGTCTGCAGCTCTGCGAGCAGCCCCCTTTCTCCACCCGGCAGTCCCAGGCTCCCAAGCTTTCCTTGACCCAGCGCGGGGTCTCCTCGACCTTCTCACAAACAAGGTCCAAACCAAGAGGCACTACCAAGGCGTGGCTATTGAGGGGTAGCGCCTGGAAGTCAGCTCCCTTTCCCCCGAAAGGGGTACTGTAGGTGACACTTGCACCGATACTGGGCTCCAGGTTGAGGGGCTTGCAGGATCCGAGGTAGTTATACTCGCAGAGAAAGCCATCGGTGGCCAAGTCACAAGAATGCTCCTCCCAGACCAGTTCCATAGAGCCAGAGGCAGAATCCCCGGAGACCACAACACACTGGTGACCACAGAGGGCGCCACGGCCACTGTGCTTCCACTTACTGTAGCTGGTGCTGTTGTCACCCGTGACCCACCTGAACCCACGCAGCTGACCCTCCTGCTCGTGGCTGCAGTTCTGCACAAGCTGCAGCCCGATCCAAAGGCGACCGTCTGGGGGTGAGATTTCAGGGGCTCCCTGAGCAAGCAGAGAGATGACATCCGCGGCCACTGAAGAGCGCACAGTCATCAAGTGGCCCCCGAGCTGCTGGCAGACCTGGTTCGCCCCAGAGAACTTCTCTGGGTTCCAGAATACGGCATAACAGTCATCTTCGATGCACTGGCTGCCGCCAGGCTGCGGAACTGGGGAGTCTGGGAGCCCCAGCTCAGCCACAGTCAGAATAGAGAGGAGCAGGAGCAGGAGAGGCAGCATTCTCTCAGGCCAGCCGTCAGGGAGGAAGGAGAATGGGGAGGTGGAGAAAAGAGGGAAGTGAAATCGCCTGCGATTTCTCCCGCTTCCCCTGGTTCTGGTATCTTGCCCTGACGTGCTCTGGGATCGAAAGGGAGAACTGGCTTCTCTGCTCTATGCAGTGACCATCCGATCCCAGCCGAGGGGAGTATCTGTCATGTCTGAAAGTTGATGCCCAAGTTTTTATAAGTGCTCAGCCCTCCCTTGCAATTCGTGAAAGGAAGGAAGTGCCTGGTGGGACGGGCTGATGCTGCATTCTCTGATTATTGTGTTACCAAAAAGCTGCGATCACCTCGCTCTATGAGTAAAGTACAGTCATAGAAATTGCTGAGCGCTGCGGAGGCCAAAGAGGATGAATTGGGTGGGGTGGGGTACGTGGGGTGTGTGGGGGCCAGGGTGGAGGGCATAGACTGAGGAAAGCATTACAGAGTAAACAATATAACAGTCTCCATCTCCCAGACAATGAGACCACCCCAAAGGCTAATGCCTGCAAACATTTTCCCGTTAACAAACAACACACACACACACACACAACACACACACACACACACACACACCACTACTCTTGATTCTTAAGTTGTTGGCGGGGAAAAGTTATCGTTGCTGCGCAGTGCAGCCAGAACTCCTGAGTGGGGAACTTTAGTGGAGAAAATATCGTAGCCTAGCAAATACCACCACCACCACCACCCCGTTTCCCCCCCGCCCCGGGTTGAATCAAGGAATACTGGGTTTAAAAGGACAACTGATCTCTGAACAGGGGTGCCTGGCAGAGTTTGATGAAAGGAATTTCCTTTGGTTAAATGGAAAAAAAAAAGGAAAAGAAAGGGGTTATTTTATTTTAATGACTGAGTCTGGGAGGCAATTGCCCAATGCCGGCAAGTTCTGCTACCCTTCTGGGGGCATCAGAAAATTAGCACATCAGGTTAATGAGCTCCTTCTTCTAGGGAAAACTTAAGGAGTTTGCTCTGTCACCAAGGTCCAGAAGTTCTGACGACAGTATATATTTCTATAGGAATTGTTTGCTCCTCAGAACTTTGGAGACGAATATCCTTCACAACCATTTACAGAGTGCCTTCTGTAGACTGCTAACGATATTGGGGATACAAAGAAGTATAAGAGAAGGGATCCCTCATCTTGAAGAGTTTGTTATCTGGCCGAGGAGCCCAGGAGAGCAGTTCCCTGATTATAAATTAGTCAGGCCACAACCATTTCTGTGCCAGGCACTGTGATAAGCACGGCGGATACAAAGAAAGGCAAATTCAGGGTCCCTGCTCTCAGGAAGCTCTCGTTCTAATGGGAGAAGCCAATGTGCAAACAAAAGTAGAGAGACAGACTGACAGATATTTACATATGGGTTTCAGAGGGGGTTAAATATTTTAAATGAATGAATGAACCAACCAACTAAACAAAGAGTAGCCATATACCAAATGACTAGTACAGATAAATGGGGGAAGGGAGAAAAACGGGAGGGGGAGAGGGACGGGAGGGCAGGCGGTGACTGAGGAGGCTGAAAAGCTTTGCATTGAAAGCTGGGGTAGTCCGGAAGCCTTCACAGAAAGGATGAGTTGTCCGTGGCTTTCATCCTTATAACTTTAGTTAACTCACAATTCTGTGCAAGACATGGAACCAAACAACCAAAAAACAAACTAAGGGGAAAAAAAACGAGTATTTTTTGGTTTCTGTATTTGGTGACTTCTGCCCAGTGCTGTTCCACTTTAAAGCACCACGAGGGGGTGCTGTTGAACTCTACCAAATGCCCTCAAGGCAAATTGCTTGGGAGCATTTCTACAGTTTGGACCCTGACTGGGGCCGCAGCTTTGTGGGGCACCGGACCCTTAACGGGAACAGACAGATCTGTGGAAGTCATTTTTTGGTAGCGGTGTGTAGGTGTTTTGCTATTATTCTACCTCCATGTCAGGCTAGTGAAGCAATTCTAGATTTTAAATACAACTTTTAGGTGAGTAAGAGAGCTTCCTCATGTGCAAAACGAAAGCACTTGCGGTCGGTTTTGGAGGTCTGGCTCCCTGACCGTAAGAGGTAAGGGGTGGGTCCTTGGAGATGAATAGAATGTAATTTAAGCACTAACCGTGAGTCAGGGAGAGTAAATATTAGAGGAGTTGGGGGATGGGGGGAAGTGATATTGCCTCCCTACCGTCTGTTTATTTTTATTTTTTTCCCTAGGGGATGATGCACAATCAGAACTCTCACCGATTCCCAGGGCAACATCGAAGCCCTGGGCACAGCACCGCCTCTCTCAGTGCGCTGAAGTGATTTACTCGCCTCCCAGGTCCCCCAGATTGGAGAAGCTTGCATAGCCTTCCGATAGACAGAATGTAGATCTAGTGTTCCCATCCCCTCTGTCGGTGAAGAAACTTCGCGAAGCTGTCCGTGATTGGCTTCAGTTCCAGGCCACTCTACGCAAAATTTGAGCATAGTTTATTCTTGGGTACAAAAATAGCTAGCATTTAAGTAGTAACTTGATATATATTGTTTTGTTTGATCCTCACAACAATTTTGGGAAGTAAGTGCTACTATTATTCCTATTTTACAGATAAAGAAATAGGTTGAGGTTACGTTAAATGACATGCTCAGAGTCTCACAACTAATAAGGGTCCGAGGCTGCATTTGAGCACTTCTTCCTTACGCAAGGTCCAGTATTCTATCTATTGCCTTCTATGGGAACCAAAAAATGTAGTAATTGTATAGTATCGATCTCTAGTCTACTGACCAGCCCAGCAGCACTGGGTCTGAATGTTTATCACTGGTAGGTGCGGATCACTCTTTTCCTCCCTGCCCCCCCAAAATCTTGGCGATCGGATAGGGTAAAGAGCCGTATATCAGGCAGTGTGACTCAGCTGTAGTCATCTGGGTCACCCTCTCCCGGGATAATGAGAAAAGGTCACCCCTCTCCACCCACAGATTATTCGGAACTGTGAAGGTCATCTGAAAGGAGACCCCAGCCAGTCTACTGGAGTCAGTCCTGGCCTCCGCATAAGCAGGACTTGTATTCCAGCTCAGAGAAGATGGAGAATGTCAGGAAAAAGGAGGGTAGGATGTAACTAAATCACGCAGACAGTGCTACAAGTGTCCCTTTTCCGAAGCGGGGGAGGGGCGTTCAGGGAACTGTTAGCCTACCAGGCCAGTAAGTCATCAGCCTGGGAAGCAGCTCGTGGAGCTCTGTGAGAACATCACCCTGGGGACGGGGGAGTCAGAATAAAAGATTATTGGAGCTGGATAAGATCTAGGACAAGCTTCTCATTTTACAAATGATAAAAGTAACTCTGAGAGAGATTGTTTGAATTTGCTTAGGTATTACCGATGATCAGTGACATAAATTTAAGTCTAGGAATTGGGTCTCTGGACTCCAGGGCTCTTTCTGGTTGCTAAATGACTGAAATAGATTTTCAATCTTAGGATCAAAGGTTTAGAAGCAGGAAGAGCCCTCAGCTGTCATCCAGTTCATTTCCCTTCATTTTATAGAGGAGGAAACTGAACAGAGAGATTAACTGATTTACCTTAACTCAGAGAGGTTAGTAAAAAGGCCCTCAGGTTTTCCTCTGTTTTCAATGCCTCTATTCTCTTGACTTTTAAATCAATTTGTACATCATTGCCAGAATAAAGTGCTCCCCTGTTGGATTCCTGTGATGGGAGGAGGGGTCATGAAATCAGCCATTCCTTTTCCTACCTCCACTCCTTTGCCCATGCTATTTCCTCTTCCTGGAGTTTGTGCTTTTCTAGTAGAATGTAAGCTCTTTGAGAAGAAAAATTGTTTTATTTTTGTCTTTGCATCTTCAGTAATCAACACAGCACCTGACACCCAGCCTGCACTTGCTAAATGTTTGTTGAATTGAATTGTTGGAATATTCTCCTTCAACTTTTAATTATCTATTATTTTACTTCTCCTTCAACATCCATACCAAATGCCTCCTCCTCAACGAAGCCTCCCTAGTTCATTCAGTCAGAGGTGGTCTTTTTCTGCTTAAAAGTGTTATAATGATTTTTATTTTAATTTTTTTGGAGGTTGGAGAATTAGAACTACCAACAAGCTGGAGTCATAAGTCTGAGACTCCTGACACATCTGTGTGACTGTGGACAAGTCACATAAACTTTTTTTTCATAAAAATCTGTAGTTTTGCCAATGAGTGATCTCAATCAACCAGTTGCAACCGATCTCAAACTCATAAGTATTAATAGATAGACTTTGAGAACTGCTACAGTCAGCCTGAAGATAAGCCTCTCAAAACTTAGCTAGGTTGGGCCACAGACCCTACTGGCCATCACTGGACTTATATTAGAATCTCTTCTGCCTCTGTAGGAATAATTAGAGCTTGTACTCTAATGGCACAGACATTGGGTAGCTAGTGTTACCTCCATGAGGGGATGGAATGTCAGAATAGGAATTCAGTATAGGGACTAATCTTTCAAAACAAAGATTGCAATTCTTGTGATGCTTACTTTACAAAATTGGAGTGGGGGTGGTAAACTTTAAAGCTCTATAAATGTGAATCATTCTTATACTGTATTATAAGTCCCTTGATTTATTTTTCTTATCTTTCTTGCTGAGGCATAAGCTTCTGGGGGTGGGATTATATATCTCACCACACATAAAACAGTGCCTTGCATACATTCCATAATCAGATGGACCTATGATCTCACGAATTTGGAAGCTTCCTCCAAAGATGTAGACAGAAACTCATGCTGGGCATTTCTTGTCCCATCTCCTACCATCACTTCAACACAAGGGACCTACCTATCCCATCTGTTGGAGTCCTTCTTCAATTTCTTCTGACAGTTTAAATGGAACACTCTGGATGTCTACCTCTCATCTTTCATTCTTGCCATCTGACCATTCATTTCATTGATGATATCTTTTCCTTCTGTTCTTCTTCTTACTTGTTATGTGTGGCATACTGCTTATCCATACCATGTACCTCTTCACTGGTCCTCTGTATGATATTCATTTTTAGTTCTGATCTCTTTGCCATGCAGAGACACTGGTACAATGATGTTGGGGTTTTTTTGTTGTTGTTTGTTTTTTTAAATGGCCCTTTGCTTTGATGAGAAGCTTGAGATCATTAAAAAAAAAGGTTTGCAGTTTTCTAAATGCAACCCATCCCACTTGCTTCCTCCTCTTCATCTCTGGGCCCAACTCATTGTTTATCTGGCCCATCACTTACAAATGAACAAGCCCTATAGAGTGTCCATCTGAATGCATATTATAATCTAGGCAATAAACATTTTTCATCCACTTGGTCTTTCCTCTGTGGATGGTTAAGCCAAACTCCTCTTCCAGGAGGCTCTACACTGTTTTTGGGCTTGACACAATCAGTATAGCATCATCTCTAACCAGGAACATTCCTGAAGACATAAACCCTTTTAGGGAAACTCTTCAACTTGGACTCTTCATTGTCTTTCCTCTATCATAATGATGAATACCTTTGGCATGCAAACATTTCCTTGTTTTGTACTTTTCCTGATGTTGATTATTAGAGAGTCACTGAATAGAGTTATTTCTATTCTTGTGCTTTTTAAGGACTTTTGAATCATTTTGATGTATGGATATAAGACACTTTACTGGGGAAAAAACTTATAAGTTGACATTTTCTTCAACTGAATCTAATTATTTTTTTACAATTAACTTAAAAAAAGCATAGTGAGATTTCCTATTTTTTTTAGGTAACTGTGAAAAGATTAAAAATATCTGGTACATTATTGAATATCACTTGTGGAAAGCCTACTTGTTCTCTTCTAATATCATCATTGAGAATGCTGTTGATTCATATATGGATGATTTGGGAAATTTTCTATAGTAGTCATATGGTAATTATTGTTATATTGTTACTCTCTTAGCTAGCTTTTTCAGTGATAATGAATTCTAAGATTTGTTTCCATAACTATGACATCTTCTCCTCAGGTATCATATATATCAATTCACTTTATAATTGTGAGAGTAACTGCAAATGTGAGTTCATTGGTCTATGAAGAAACTTCAATGCAGATCAGCACCTTTACTTCAACTTAGGGTGTGACAGATGGAGTTGCCAGAACTCTGAAAGGATAAATGATCGCCAGGATCACATAGCCAGCATGTCTCCAAGACATCACTTGAAACCAGATCTTCCTGGCCTCACCACACTGACTTTCTTAGAGGAATATGCCTTGCTTATGCAGAGAGGTGGGGCCAATTGATGAAGTTATAATGGAGAAGAGATAGTGAGGTCATAAATAAGTTACAATAAAGTATAATTTGTTATGGCTTTGTGAGGTATAAAGTTGTTTAAGCAAGGTCTATGGAATTAGGGGCTCACTAACCACTAACTATATCCCCAGAGGCCCTTTAAAAATCAAGAAACTCTATGGCATGAGTTGAGGTAGGAGACAGCTCTGAAGAATATGAGCCTTCTGAGTCTAGAAGAGAATATGCTATGAAAGAACTTAATTCTTGAGGGGAAGCCTTTCTCACCTCTGGGATGAAAGGAATTTCACTTGCCTCCAATCCACATAGGTAATGGCATCTTGCAACAGAACTACTAAGGGAACAGAACAGTAGGAAACACTGCAGCTACCAGGGAAAAGGCTCAGTAAGCCAAGGGAAGAGACCAAAGGAGTGTTACGGGCTGAGAAAATTAGCCCTGGCTGTTGGGGAGTTGAGCTGCAGAGAGGAACAGCACTAAGGAATCCAGCTACGCCACCTTCCCAGTGGATGCTGTACTCAGAGGGAGCAGCATAAGGACATCAAGAGAAAGGAAAGGGTAACAGGGCCCTGATGTGCTGGAGGGGCAAGTTTTCTGGGCCAGTTATATCCCATAAACATGCTCTTCTCTAATAGTCTATTCTATGGGTATGCTTACTCTTCCCATAGATGCTATATACATTTATGGGAGGATTTATGGAGGAAATGTTTTGCTACTATTGTTCATGATATAATATATTAGTCTATGGCCTTTTACATAATGTTTCAATTGGCTGACTTACCAGTGGGTGCTTGTGAGTTATAATTTTAGGAATGAGGACTCACAGAGTATCTTAAACCTGATGTATAGTTGTTCACCTGGGAACCTAGAGTAAGATGGGGGGAGGAAGAGGTATTGCTGTAGCAGGAGTATCCTATATGTAGAATAGGTACTTCTTAGGTATCTAGAGGCAATGTAGTATAGCATAAAGAATGATGGACCTGGAGTCAGGAATTTAATTCCATCCTCAAACATTTATTTAGCTGTGCGACCACAGGAAAGTTTACTAATCTCTATCAGCCTCATTTTTCTGATCTGTAAAATAAGGATAGTAATAGCATATACCTCACAGAGTTGGTGTGATAATCAAATGATATAATGATAGTATGTAAAATCCTCCCCAAATCTTAAAGCACTATATAAATTTTAGCCATTGTTACTTATATATGTGTTGAATGGTATTGGTGCCATGTATGTGTATCTCCATGATATCTATCCAGTGGGCTTTGTCTTTTGAAATTCTTGAAGGTGGATTCATAGCAACCCTGATAATCAATATACATATATATGTCTGTGTATATATATATATATATATATATATATATATATATATGTACATATATATATATATGTACATATATATGCACATATATATAATATACACACACATATATAACATATGTATATGTATGTGTGTGTGTGTATTATATATATATATATATACACACACAGATAGATAGCTACATATATACAGTTAGATAGATAGACAGACAGATAGACAGACAGATAGACAGATACAGGGGACGGGGCTCAGAGCCAGGGCTTTTTCTTTTGCTTTTTGCTTTTTTGGTGAGGCAATTGAGGTTAAGTGACTTGCCCAGGGTCACACAGCTAGTAAGTGCCAAGTGTCTAAGGTCGGATTTGAACTCAGGTCTTTCTGACTCCAAAGCCAGAGCTCTATCCACTGCACCACCTAGCTGCCCCCAGAGCCAGGGCTTTTTCAATTTGCTTTACTATGTTGGCAGAGAGAGGAAAAGGAAGAAGCTTCCATAGTGGCTTCTGACATTTTGTGGACCATGTGTTATAAGTTATAAATTATTCTGATTATTGTTATTCTTAATTATAATGTCGTGATATTTCAGCCTGCCTTTTCCTTTCTATTATAACTGCCCTGGGGTAGTGGGAATGTTGTTCATTACTAAATTACTCTTATAGTAATGATAGCAATGTTATGGTGATGAAATCATATTCCGAAGTGGGGGAGGAAGAAGGGGAGTCATAGGTCAGAAAGAAGAAAACATAAAAAAGGCAAGATTCTTAGGGCTTTAAATACAGAAACTTATTTCTTGTATTACAAAATCCTACTGCAAAAGGAAAGAAAAATGTACTTAGCACCTTTCAGGGCTCTTTGACATCAACAAGTTTGAGTTCTCTGAATACCTACCTGAATCCCTGACTACCACTGAGAATTCTCATAATAAACAGACCTTTCTGAAATTCCCAACATGTGTGTGTACCTGAGGGTACATTGCTTTTCTGAGAAAGAGAATTCATAACAATAGCTTAGGAGGGAAGCTGGAAGCAAAGATGAGGTGTTGCCAAGACAGAAGATGTCAACTATTCCGTGTTAAGTTCATTTTCACCACTTTATCTTATTTCTAATTACTTTGTAGATTGGAAATTCGAGATGGGGGTAACTCTCAGGAAGCTCAGAGTTTTCATTGGGAGAATGTGGCTGGGAAATAGCTGGATTATTTGGACAGCTCCAAGATTGAACAGGGCATCTTCTCTCCCCCTTCACAGTCTTGATAATTTCAGGTCAGAAAGTATTCTGACAGTGGAATGGGGTGGAGCCAGTAGCAAGGGCCAGGTGAAAAAACAGCCAGATTCACACAAACCACATTAACCTTCGTGCAGAGAGAGCACAAAGGGCTCCTGTCATTTTCTGCAACATGTGCAATATGTACAAACTGGTGGTTTTCTGGGCATATGACTTCAGTGTGTTTTGACACACAACCAGTTACCAATTTTTTTTTTTAGGAGCTTGATAAATAGATCATGAAGTGACAGGATCATAGATTTACAGATGGAAAGGACCTCAGGGGACATCTAGTCCAACCCTTTTCTATTACAGAGGAGGAAACTGAGGTCAAGAGATGTTAAATGACTAGCCCAAGGCCACACAGTAACCATCAGAGCCAGGATATGAACCAAGGTACTCTTAATCCAGAGTTAGTGCTGTATTACCATGACTCCGCTGTCTTTTACCAGGTATTCAACTGTCCTAAAATCTGTACCTCATTCTAAGCAGCCTGGAAATAGTCCATATAAAAATATCAATATAGAAACATACATTTATATGCACATATGTTCTTATTGTAGTAATTCTGAGGAAGCATTTGATTAATTCCACTTTACAGATGGAGAAACTAAGATAATGACTCAGCATTTATGGAATTCTTGGTCCATCATTAAAGGACAATCTTAAATTCAGGAAAGCTAATTACTAGTTTGACCACAAAAGATTATCCCCTTCTTCAAAAATCACAGATCTTTGAGGTATGATGCTTTAAGATTAAACAAACAAATTAAATAACAAAAAACCCCTTTCTTCAAAAGAACTCTACAATATAAATAATACAAGTTTTACTCTTCTTATTTTACAGATGAAAAACTTAAGGCACACAGATTAAATCATTTACCAAGGGTAATAAGCAGCAAGTTATTGTGTAAGATGGTCCATTTTAAGCTGGAAGGCACCTTGTAGATCATCTAATTCTGCCCTGTGATTTCATGGATAAAGCTGTGGCCCAGAGAGGTTAGGTGATTTGCTCAAAGATAGACATGTAAGCAGCAGAGTCAAGATTTGAGTCCAATTTCCCTGACTTCAAACCTACTCCTCTTTCCATTGGACCACATGACCTACAAATGGCAGAGCTAGGACTAATAAATAACTTGCTGAGTGAATGGATAAATGAATGAATTAATAATTCATGAATAAATGAATAAAACAATGAATGAATCAAAAATAGAATTTATATCTGGATCTAATCACCCTAGTATCTGGGTTCTTTCCACTATCCCTTGATTTCCTATGAGGTTACACTTATAGGAGGGGAGATATAGTATAGTATATATAGTGTATATAATGTGTGTGTGTGTGTGTGTGAGAGAGAGAGAGAGAGAGAGAGAGAGAGAGAGAGAGAGAGAGAGAGAGAGAGAGAGAATTGGGGAGAGGGATGGGTAGACAAGTGGAATGATTTGAAGGGCTTTAGTAAGACCTGTCTAAATAATTGCCTCATACTTGAAATTTCACCCCACTAATGTCTGAAATTCTAGTATCAACCATTCCTTCCTTTATTTTTGACCTTGATCCCTTCACATCCTCTATTTTAATGCATATAGTCCTGGAGGGAGATAAGCTAGTAAGTATGGAAAGGTAGCTTGGAATAGAGAATATAACACTAGCCTCAAAGCAAGCATACCTGGCTTCAGTTCTTACCTCACATACTTATTAGCTGTGCAGTTCTGGTTAAATTACTTAACCTCTCTATACCTCCATTTCTTCATATGTAAAGTAAAGGATTGGGCTTCTTGGCTTTTAAGGTTCCTTCCAGTTCTAGAATCTATGATTCTATGTCTATTGCACTAAAATAAATGAGTTTATCAGCTTCTTTTCCTCTGTTATTGGAGAGTGGTTCCTGAGGGAAATGTGTGGCAAAGAGAGGAGGTATGGGTATAATCCAAAAGGACTTGACTCCTTCCAAGACACTGTAGTTCAGTAGGAAGACTCCTGGGGCATCTTCTAAGGAAGAGGATTAGAAAAGAAAGCAGTTGGGTCGGTACAAAAGTACTCTTACCAACTGTTCATTTTACACCTGGTGACACATACCTGATGAAGCCTCAGTCTTAAAGCCTCAGCCAAGAACACTGGTGAGGGGTGCTCAGGTTTTTACATGGAAGTTTTTTATGCTTATAGAATCTGAATTGGCCCTTGAACAAGACTCTGTCCCCCACCCCCAAACCCTTCGTATTGGAGGTGAACTTATACAATCTTCATCAAATCAAGAGAGAAAGAGAATTTTAAAGGTGTGATCCCTGATCCCTACTCATCTACCCCCAAAAAACAGCTAGGTTGATGTAGTGAATAGAGCACTGACTCTGGAGTCAGGAAGTTCTGAATTCAAATTCAAACACTTACTAAGCTGTGTGACCCTAGGCAAGTCACTTAACCTTTGACTGCCTCTGAGCCTCTGTTTCCTCAATTGCAAAATGGGGGTAATAATAGCACCTACCTCCTAGGGTTTTTGTGAATTTGTAAAAGCACATAGCTTGACATGTAGATAACACAATAAATCCTTGGCTCCTTACTCACTGTGAGCAGCAGACTACCTGTAAGTAAGAGACAGAACAGTCTGTCTCCAATACTAACACCCCAAAACTATTACCTGAAGTTGCACTTAAGGGTAAATGAAGACCTTTTGCAGAGCCCTGGTCATCATGCTCCTCTGTTCTCAGCTCTTTGAAACAGATGGACCATCTAGAGTGTCGA